GGTACTTTGTGGAATTGGTGAGCCGTTAAGTGTAACATTTGGGCAGTTACCTGGTCTTAATGAAAACGTTATTTGGACGGATTTCAGGGAGTTTATTCTAATTTTCCATCGAAGGAACCAGTCTTCAATTAGGCTTAGCTCACTCTGCAGGAGTTCAGAAGCTTCATTTATAGATGTGCTTGTGGCTAAAACGGCTGTATCATCAGCATATGTTGCAACAGTGCAGTTGTTTGTAACTGGCATGCCGGCCGTATATAGGGTGTAGAGAATTGGTCCCAATACGCTTCCTTGTGGGACGCCTGAGTTGATGAGAAGTAGTGATGAACTATCGGTTTTCTGCTGCACGTAAAAGCATCTTCTAGCCAGATATGATTTGATTAATAAATAGTACGGAGCAGGTAGCCATTTCTTTATCTTGTACAACAAACCTTTGTGCCAGACTCGATCGAACGCTTGTTGAACATCAAGAAATGCAGCAGTGCAGTATTTTTTGTTTTCAAATGCCGAAACTATATCATTAATAACCCTGTGACATTGCTCAGGGGTCCCGTGACCCCTCCTGAATCCGAATTGGTATTCAGGAATGATGGAAAGTTCGTCTAAAATTGGTAACATTCTCTTCAATAGTATTTTTTCAAACACTGCCGAGAAAATTGTCAACAGACTAATGGGACGGTATGATGTCAATTCCGTTTCTATTTTGTTTGGTTTTAGGATCATAACGATCTCTGCACATTTCCATTGACTTGGAAAGTGGTCTAGTCTGAGAATCGCGTTATATATAAGAGTGAGAAACCGAATGCATTTTGGTGGTAAACTTTTTAGGGTGATACCGTCTATTTTATCAGGGCCTGGTGCTTTTTTATTGTTCAAGCATTTGATTTCTGTCACAACTTCTTCATATTTAATGCTTTTAATAGGCAAGCTCATTTGGCAGGGTGACTCAAGGGATTTTTCTACTTCAGTCTTTGTTGTATAATTATTTATATCGTTTGGCTGAAACACAGAGTGCAGATGTTGTGCAAATGCTTCCGCTTGTTCATTATTAGACCTACACCAAGTTTCGTTGTTTTTGCGAATATTTATGTTTCTTTTAGCTGGTTTCTTTAGGTATTTAGTCGCCCTCCATAGGTTGTATTCATTGTTGCTTGAATTAGGGTCTAAGTTTCTCAGATACGCAGCTAGAGATTCATTGCGTAAGTTCGACAGCAGTTGTCTAAGCTCAGATGCAGCCTTGTTGTATAATCTTTTGTCAGCAGGGTAGTGAGTTTCTTGCCAGCGTTTTCGCAGATTCCTTTTATTTTGTATTTTTTGTCGAAGATCGGTTGAAAGGTTCAATTGGTTTGGTTGTTGATGATTAAGAGCATGATTCGTGTTTCTGTAGCTCGCATTATGAATTGTATTTGTGAAAAGCTCCACAGCATAGTCTATCTCCTCTCCTGTTTTTAACGGAATGTCCAGGCTTATAGCTGAATCTAAATGGCTTTTAAATGCGTTAATGTCTGTAGAGGCTGTTATTACTTTATAGGGCTTTTCCAACATATGGGCTATTGTGCTGTAAGTTGCTATTATTGGAGAATGATCTGAGTTAAGGTCAAAGCTCTCCATTACTCGCATGTGTGATTGTGGGATTCCAGAGAATACTATGAAATCAATCAAATCTGGAATTTTTCGACTATCAGTTGGCCAGTATGTGGGCACACCAGTTGACAAAGTCGTTATGTTATTGTTTCGTATGCATTTGTATAACTCCGATCCCTTCGGGTTAGTTAATCTGGATCCCCACCATGGATGTTTGGCATTGAAGTCGCCTCCCACGATNATTCATTGCGTAAGTTCGACAGCAGTTGTCTAAGCTCAGATGCAGCCTTGTTGTATAATCTTTTGTCAGCAGGGTAGTGAGTTTCTTGCCAGCGTTTTCGCAGATTCCTTTTATTTTGTATTTTTTGTCGAAGATCGGTTGAAAGGTTCAATTGGTTTGGTTGTTGATGATTAAGAGCATGATTCGTGTTTCTGTAGCTCGCATTATGAATTGTATTTGTGAAAAGCTCCACAGCATAGTCTATCTCCTCTCCTGTTTTTAACGGAATGTCCAGGCTTATAGCTGAATCTAAATGGCTTTTAAATGCGTTAATGTCTGTAAAGGCTGTTATTACTTTATAGGGCTTTTCCAACATATGGGCTATTGTGCTGTAAGTTGCTATTATTGGAGAATGATCTGAGTTAAGGTCAAAGCTCTCCATTACTCGCATGTGTGATTGTGGGATTCCAGAGAATACTATGAAATCAATCAAATCTGGAATTTTTCGACTATCAGTTGGCCAGTATGTGGGCACACCAGTTGACAAAGTCGTTATGTTATTGTTTCGTATGCATTTGTATAACTCCGATCCCTTCGGGTTAGTTAATCAGGATCCCCACCATGGATGTTTGGCATTGAAGTCGCCTCCCACGATAAACTTTGTTCCCAGTCCTTGGAAAAAGTTTTTGAAATCGAGTTCTTTTATTGTGAATCTTGGTGGGAGATAAATCGCTGTTATTGATACATCTGCGTGCATACATTTTATCTGAATTGTGGCAGCTTGCATAGCGTTTTCCCTAGTACTGTCCATGATTTGAAATTTAAGGCCCTGCTTGACAAGAATTGCAGCACCTCCATGAGCTCTATCTGATGGATGGTCAGCTCTTACTGTGTCGTATCCAGTAACTTTAAAAAAAGATTTGCTAGTGAAGTGTGTTTCTGAAATAAGCATGACGTCAATGGCATTCGTTTTTAAAAATAAAGCTATTTCATTTACATGGTTGGAAAGCCCATTGGCATTCCATATTCCTAAGTTTAGATTTATTTGCATAGCTTATTTACAAGTAACATTATCATGTTAAGTAAATTATTGGTAAGTTGAGATTGTTTTTCTAGAAGCTGTTCTATTCTTTCTAGAGACTTGTTCGAGTTACTATTTCCTGCAGCAACTTGAGCGTATGATTGGTAATCTTTGGGTTGTTGGGTCGAATTATTAGACGGAGCAAATGATTGATATGTACCATGGTCATTTTTATTTTTGTCATCTTTGGTGTTTCTCTGGTGGTTGCGCCCGCTTACTATTTTTTTTGATATAAGATCCTGATAGACTTTACACCCTTTGTAACTAGCAGCATGATCTTCGTTGCAGTTGGCACATTTTGCTGGTTGCTCTTTATCTTTTGGGCAAACGTTGCTGGGATGGTTAAGAGAGCATTTCACACATCTGTGAGTTTTGGCACAATATGACTTTGTGTGTCCAAATTCCTGGCAACGATAACACTGAACGATTTCTTTAGTTTTACGGGGTGGTTCTATATTAACAACTGCGTTACCAATGAGTTTAACTTTGTATATATCTAAGTTCTTATTGTTGGGCTCAATGTCTAAGTAGAACAAATTCAATGGCTCTTTGGTTACACGACTTTTAATATTACTAATGTTTCTAACAGCGTGACCTTTGGACTCCACATCTTGTTTGATTAATTCGAATTAATTCGATTAATTAATTGCTCACATTTGAAACGGAAAAATTCATACGGGAGAGCGTTTAATAGGAGAGAATTTCCCTGACCGTTTAGAGACAGGAATGAATTTCCCTGTATATGAACAGCGCGCTCAGCTAGCTATATTTGAATTGAACGCTCTTTTATTACCAGAAGATGTCAAACTATCGGTTGTTTTGCAACTTGTAGAGACAGGTGAAGGAGAGAGGAGCTACTATACTCGTTAATTCCTCAACCATCGATAGTAACGATGGTGCTACCGATTTTTCTCCCAGCCCTGGTCACGCTGCGTGCGACGCCAAAAACCGCGTTTTTGTTTTTATTGAAGAAATTGCCTAAGAAACTTCCAAGAATTGCACTGATGTGGAGGGCGGAGGCGCAATTGGGCATAATTTGGCGAATGGCGAGAAGCGCACCATGGACGTGGAGGCTGGACGACTGCCATACTTCTCGGATTTGCATCTGTGCCCTGTGGTGCTCAGCGGCCTGACGGCCAACAATTTTAAGACGCCAACGAAAATTCAAGCTGCAGCCATACCCATGACGCTGACCGGCATGGGTAAGTGTAAAGTATTTAAATGGAATCCTAAAATTAACATTTTGTTGCAGATCTGCTGGTGCAGTCGAAGAGCGGCACGGGCAAGACGCTGATCTATGTGGTGACGGCGCTGAAGGCGGTCAACGTGAATTGGAATTATCCGGGAATTTTGGTCATTCTGCCCACACGTGAGCTGGCCATACAGATGCACGACACATTCCGCTACTTGGGCCAGAGAATGCGGGAATTTAAGGTGAATTCGTTTATTGGCGGCACCGATGTGACCAAGGATCTTGAGAAGCTGCGGAACTGCCATGTGGTCATTGGGCACACCGGGCCGCCTGCTGCAGCTGCACGAGAAGGGTGTGTACAATCCGTCCCGCGTGCGGCTGCTGGTGCTCGACGAGGCCGGACAGCTGTACATGACGGAGAGCCTGCAGAGGACGGTGAATGATTTTATTGCTCTGCTGCCGCGACAGCGTCAGGTCATCGCCTGCAATGCCACCTGTGATCAGAATTTTGACGAGAAGATAGCCAGGATGATGGAGAAGTTTATACTGATATCGAATAGCGAACGGGCCACCGTGCTGCTGGGCATTCGGCAGTTTGTCTACGAGCTGCCGGAGCAGATCAACAACATGCTGTAGATGCGTCTGAAGCTGGAGGCGCTAAAGAAGATCTTCACCCACCTAAACTACGAGCAGGCGGTTCTCTTTTCCAATTCCAAAATGCGCGCAGATTGGTACTGCAAGTACTTGAACGCCGGCGGCATACCCTGCATGCTGCTGTCGGGTGATCTCGCCCAGAGCGACCGCTCCGAGGCGTTTGAGAGCTATCGCAGTGCTATCTTCTCGGTGCGCACCATTGTGGACATGGATCTGATTGCACGCTGCGTGGACTCGCATCATGCCAACCTGGTGATCAATTTGGATCCGCCCAACGATCATGTCACATATTTGCATCGGTCGGGGCGTTCCGGTCGCTTCGAGTCAAAGGCCATTGCCATCACATTCATCTCATCGCCGAAGCAGAGCGAAAACTTTAAGCGGATTCTGGCCAAGGCAGGCACAGGCATGTCCGTTCTGCAGTTGCCAACAGAAGGGCCGCCGTCGAAGGGATTTAATTACTTTGCATTTGATGCTTATGAGTTTCCGTATTATTTTAATTCGGAAGCAACCGAGCAGGACGAGAATGAGTTGAATCAAATCAAGAAGGCCACCAAACTGGCCATTAAAATAGCCAACGAAAAGGCATCCAGCTATGTGTATCCAGTGGTGGTAAAGACACAGGAAGAGAGACAGGAGGCAGAGGCATTCAGAGAGACAGTCAGACAGACAGCCATAGTGACAGGAAGAGAGACAGGCAGAGAGACAGTCAGAGAGAAAGGCAGAGAGACAGGAGGCAGAGTGACAGAAAGAGAGACAGGCAGGCAAAGAGGTTCACAGACATAAGCAACTATATAAGGAGGCCTCGTCCGCCCCAATTCTCAGTGCACGTTTGCTTGTCGACGCGGAAGGTTTGTTTTTCAATTTTTTTTTTAAATGTTTATTTTTTCAGAACAGGTATGTACATATGTATGTAGTTATGTACATATGTAGTCAGAGAGTCAGCAAGTAGAGGGACAGGCAGAGAGGGAGACCCGTACCACCGATTAACAAGCAACAAATTGATTCATCAATCGCTTAAAATCTTTAAGTTCTGAAAGTCTAAACTAAATGGTAATATTAATCAGAACATCAAAATTGAGGTAAATATTTATTATCTATAGTATATATGGAAGTGTGAACGTATATTATTTTTGATATATTTCTGGGGTATTTTTGTGCTCACATTTGAAACGCAAAAATTCATACGGGAGAGCGTTTAATAGGAGAGAATTTCCCTGACCGTTTAGAGACAGGAATGAATTTCCCTGTATATGCGCGCTCAGCTTGCTATATTTGAATTTAACGCTCTTTTATTACCAGAAGATGTCAAACTATCGGTTGTTTTGCAACTTGTAGAGACAGGTGACAGAGAGAGGAGCTACCATACTCGTTACTATCGATGGTTGAGGAATTAACCAACCATCGATAGTAACGATGGTGCTACCGATTTTTCTCCCAGCCCTGGTCACGCTGCGTGCGACGCCAAAAACCGCGTTTTTGTTTTTATTGAAGAAATTGCCTAAGAAACTTCCAAGAATTGCACTGATGTGGAGGGCGGAGGCGCAATTAAGAAGCGCACCATCGACGTGGAGGCTGGACGACTGCCATACTTCTCGGATTTGCAGCTGTGCCCAGTGGCCTGACGGCCAACAATTTTAAGACGCCAACGAAAATGCAAGCTGCAGCCATACCCATGGCGCTGACCGGCATGGTTAAGTGTAAAGTATTTAAATGGAATACTAAAATAAACATTTTGTTGCAGATCTGCTGGTGCAGTTGAAGAGCGGCACGGGCAAGACGCTGATCTATGTGGTGACGGCGCTGCAGGCGGTCAACGTGAATTGGAATTATCCGGGAATTTTGGTCATTCTGCCCACACGTGAGCTGGCCATACAGGTGCACGATACATTCCGCTACTTGGGCCAGAGAATGCGGGAATTGAAGGTGAATTCGTTTATTGGCGGCACCGATGTGACCAAGGATCTT